GTGTGTGGTGCGTATTAAGCCCTGTTAGCTTTTTATCAAATTTTATCTAGGAAATTTTACGGTTGATCCTGATCTAGTGCCTTAAGGTCTTGCGAGCTGAGAGTCAATTAGGAGAATGTTAGCTCGAAGACGGTTATGTTAATGACGGAGCAATAAATGCAAAAGTGAACTGCCCTACTAATACATATTCTCACATATTCGTTCGGTGGAAAGGTGGCAACATACCTGTAAATAAATGAGCTGTTTTGTGAACTGCTCGATGAAACCTTAACTCGGAAACTACGGCGATATAGTAGGGTAGTACGTTTTTTGTGACTATTAATTATGGAAATGCCGGTCTAGTGGTTTTTTTCATAGCCCACCATATATTAATGTAAATTAAATTTGTCTTATAATGGACATTTTTATATATTCGTTCTGTAGAAAGGCAGCAGTATAATAACACATAAATGCGCTGTTTTTAAAATTTCAGAAACTGCGACGATACAGTAGGGAAGTAAGTATTTGTTTCCATTAATTATGGAAACGCTGGCCTAGAAGTTTTGCCCTACGTGGAAACCATATTTCAATTTTCAATCTCGCAAGATCACTAAATCAGTTTTACATAAGCTATGGTTTTTACCGCTCTTAGGGAACTTTGTTATTTAATGCACAGAGAAATCAGTTGAATTATGCAAAAAAGGAGTTAATAACCTACCGAATGTGGGCATAGTGATTTTTGCTTCTGATGACTTCTCCTTAACATCGTTGGTGTACATTGTCAGCTTGTATATTTCACCCAGCTTGAAGACAGGCGGCAGCCCCACTTGCATCATCCCGGCGTTCTGGTTGGCGTCGCCGAAACTTTCATTCTATGTAATATTACAAAAAACTGGTTTGTAGATAATTGCGTTAAGAGTGAGTCAATGTGCTTGTTAGTGGTTGTTAACTCAATGCTGTAGTACAACATTTTGGCTATGATATCTGAATTACTAGAAAATTTTATTTCTGCCGAGCTCAGTTTTTTTCTTAATTTAATTTAAATAATGATGCAATAATGAAAAATGTATATGTAAAAATAGGACGCTAAAGTCGTACTCTTTTGAGGACTTTCCGGCATATTTCCGATGAAGAGTTGGTTTCCGAAGTGATAATCAGTGTGATATTTTCTACGGCGACGCCGCTTGTAGGTGCACTTCCGAGTGGTGGCGGCACGAAGGAGATATTCAGGGAGACAGTTCGGTCGGGGTTAACAAACAGTGTCGCCTTGGCGTTTGTCGGTGGTTGTACTGCATTAGGGCCTATCGTAAAGGAAGATGAGTGTTTGATGCGTTATCCTGTCTTTCTAGTGCACAAGCATTTATTTTAACCAACGTCAACGTTTGCTGTCTAATATTTTAGTCGAATTGTCCTCGTTGAGATCATAACTACGTTATAGAATTGTGCATAATTTGCGGTACATTTGTTTGTTTAATAGATGATTCTTATTACACATTTAATCGAGTGCATGTCTAATAATTGCCCTCCTGCGTTATCTAGAGCACAAAGCAATAGGACATGCTTAATTGTTCCGTATTAAAAGCATGATATACTTCAGGTAGAAGAGTGTGGACGCTCTGTTCGCGAGCTCCGTCACAACTATCAGTCTGAGATAGGGGATAAAACAAGGTGCAAATTGTATTGACTTCTTGTGCTGAACACAACTTGTATATGTTTTTTTATTTGCACATAACATATACGAAGACTAGCCAATATACTAGCCAACCCAAGGCTTTTGATGGTTCTACTCTTCATTTACTCGTTAAAGCAGACATGTAGAACACCGGCACTTGTTCGAATATCTGCCAATTAGTTAGGCTACGTATGTTATAGGTGCTCGAATAGTTCAAAAGCCGACAGGAATTGACGGCCGCAAATGTTAGACAAAAACATTGAGCTCGCCATAAAGCTTTTCTGGGTAAATTGTTGTCGTGATGAGTCCCGCTGTAAATTAAACATCATCTTAATTTCCGCTGGATCTATTACAGCCACGGGCAGGACACAAAACCACGCCTTTTGACCTGTACTTATGAATCTAGTTATAACTAGCACTACGGTATCCTCAGTGCATGCGCATTTGTTGGAAGTCTAATAGCAAAGCGGAAAACATATTGTAAGCGTTCTTGAACAATTTCTACGAAACTATGCTGCATGGGG